CCTCTATCTCTCTCCCCCTTTCTTTCTGTCTCCCTCTTCCTATCTTACTCAGTATGTCTCTCGTATTCTTTCCTACTTCTTTGACTACTTCTCTTTCCTTTACTCTTTTCTTTCCCTCTGTCGTTTCTATCAGTTCATCTTGCTGTGTTTTCACAATAAATTATTTACATCTAAAGGAGAGTTTGACTCATACTCTAAAAACGTGATCTCTGCCCTGCACCTTTTCTATCTTCTCTTATTTTAAAACAATTAATTTATTCTTTTCTTTCATCTCATTCATTCTATGTGTACTTTAAAAGTGTCAAAGGAAATAACAATAGAGATCGTGTAGTCTACACAGCATAGATCTCATTAAGATCTACAGCACTCACGTCTCAACACATCACACAATGTTTAAAAAGGCTTCGCTCAATATTCCACAATGCTTTTCCCGTGAAATCGGGAGTCTCTTCCATTAATGAGTTGGGCTATAATGCAATACGGATAGATCTAGACTAAATAGAAAGATTAAACAGATGCACAATCGACAAAACAATCTCTAAATTACTGAATCAGTGCACTTTGTCTATTATCTACGATCTCCTTTTAGTTTTAGTGAGTGTTTCACGGCACTTGCAACACAATAAGGTCAGATAAGTGCCGAAGATTAGAGGTGTTACAAGAGAGAAAAAAAAAAAAAAAAAAGAAGAAGTGTGATATATGTTTGACAGGAAAGAAGAAACAAACTACACCAGAGCACCCGTCAACCACCCATTACGATCTCCTGTTTTTTTCTTCTGAAACACTGGAAAACCAGACAGCACTCCTATTGCGCGTTGAACTTTATATCATAACTTTCTTTAGCCTCTCTGAGGACGTAACGGTCACATGTGTCCGATCAACAGCTGCCCAACGGCAATGTTGTGGCCCATTTCAAGCCATCATACACAAATCAGAAACACAACGTGGCATATTTCACGGCATGGGAGCACGAGGCAGGGGTAGACCACTGAAAACATGAAGGAGAAGAGTCGAAAGGGGCATGAGAGAGATGAAGCTCACTTGGAACGAGCTTGGAAGGATGGCCCAGGACAGAAATAAATGGAAGGAGCTTGTATGTGGCCTATACCCTGCCAGCCAGAGGTGGAAGGCATTGATGATGATGATGATGATGTTGGCCCCCTTTTGACACCCAGATTTAGAATAGAAAATGTGTATGATTAATGCATTTAGGCTTTTTTTTTAGTAGAGGTTTTACGGTGCTCGGAACTGCATAAGGTCATATGAGCGCCAAGGGGTGGGTGTCAAAAGAGAAGTCCTTACCGGGAATCAGACTTACTCTGCTCACCTCTCTAGCTTCAACAGCACAAAGGCTTCTTTTTATGCCCCAACAAATTGCTACTTTATGAGCTGCCGAATGACCAGAATGTGAGTCCCCAATGGATTAATCAGGACATTTCATTTTTATCGTTTTAATTTTATTGTGGTCTTTCAATGCCTTAATTCTAGAAACTGTCGGAGAGCCGGGGTCCTGTGTACAGAGTGTGGGCATGTGGCGAGCGGAAGAGGGCAGAGGCCGGACAAACACAGCGGCGTTATAAATTACCCGCGCGGACCGGATATCGCCGGGGGTCAGCTCAGGCCAACAACACTGTCAGCTGGTGGTGGTCACTCGAGGACTGGTCACTTCTTATTGACCGCATTCTGCGATTGCTAAGTGTATATCGGAACTATAATATTACATGTTCAGGCTTGTCATTTTGCTTGCTGGGTTTTTGGCCCTTTATCTCTCTCTCTCTCTCTCTCTTTCTCTCTCTCTCTCTCTCTCTCTCTCTTTCTCTCTCTCTCTCTCTCTCTTTCTCTCTCTC